ATATCACATTGGGGAGATTTCCCATGTTTCTCCCAAACAGTTATTTGTGGATTTGAACCACTAGAAGGATACTACCTTTGAGTTGGCAGTGCTACTGCATATGCAATAGGTCTCCAGAGCTCTCCATAGTACTAATGCTTTAAAATTTTAAAATTGAGATGTTGTCCTCCTGTATTTTCATTAGGAATCTCATCTACTGTGGTTTTAAGACCTTCATTGTAGAGATAAGTAAATAATAATTCAGTATTGTCAGGAATGTGGTCATTAGGAAGTTGGACTGCTTAACCCTAAGGCCACACCTCTCTGGTCATTTGGATTCACCATCAGATCAGAGGGAGAAATATGGGCAATCATCTAGATCATATTTCAAATAGATGGAAATGGTTTCTAAAGAAACTAACAATGAAGTGTAGCATAAAGAAGACATCTAAATTTTATGGATTGTAGTTATTTTTAACTTCAATGAGAAAGAAGTTCAGTTGAATAAAAATCTTGTGAATGAGGTTTGAAAATTAGCCAGAAGTTAATAGTTATCTTCCCACCATTAGTGATGCCGTTTCTGTTCATTGAAAACAATATTCTCTTTTACAATCTATTTGGGGAAGTTCTAATGCCTATTGGATAAAAACTTGTGCTGCTAATCTTCCCGTGGAAGACAGCTAGATAATCATCTCCCACTTTATTCACTGCTTCTGAAAACCCACTGGAAGGTCAGCTATGAGGTGGTTCTACTTGAAGGAACCTAACAACAAATGGTGCTAGAACTTTCCTTGAGAACAACATTCTCTTAAACTTGTACAGCTTATTTTTGAGGAGTGTATGTATAAAACAAGCATGTTCTCCTGAATTGTAGAACTAAATCCTTAGTAGAAAGAAATTTTTGTAACCCTGCCATTTGGTATGACTAATATCTTCATTTCTTACAATTGCCATCACAAAGTACCAAAAGGAAAAAAAGTACCAAGAGGAGGGTGATCTTAAAATCAGAAACTTGTTTTCTCATTATCTTGCAGCTGGGAGTTAAAGTTAGTGCCTCAGTAGCATTGATTCCTTATATGGAATTTGAGAGAAAACAGTTCCATATACTTTTAGTTTCTGATGATGGTAATCTTTGGTGTACTTTTGCTGCTTATGAATGTATTTTCCTCTCTTCTCACATGTCATTTTCTTAGTTTGTGTCTCTTTTTCTGTATCTCTCCTTTTTTTGCAAAATGTCAATCGATAATTAGAATTGAGATAGATAGAGTAGGACTCACCCTACTCATATATGCTTTTATTAGTTGGGATGGATGATACAAAATCTGGGGCAATGGAGGTTGCTGTGCCTGAGTTAGTGAGACTGGCTCAGAACAGGGAACGGTTCAAAGCTGGTGCACATAGGGTTGCTATGGGTTACAGACAACTCAAAGGCACATGAAAACAACAACAACAACAACGACATACTATATTGGTTGTTTTATTTAAGGCTCTTGTTTAGAGTCAACAAGACCTCTAGAAGGCCTTTGTATTTATTAGTTGGTTGTTATTATATTTTGGATGAAAATTCGTCTAAGTGGTACAACCCTCTTCTGTCAATATACTGTACTGAAGTAACCTGGGGGTGCTTTGATGCTGAATCTTGTGCCATTGGGGTGTCAAATACTACAGTTACCCATGGTGGACTGTGTTTGGTGGAGCTTCCATTTTAAGACAGACTTGGAAGCAGGAGTGGCATCCACTTCCTAAACAACATGCCTCTGGAAACTATGAACTTTGAGAAACCATGATAGTTATAGGAAAGCTTCAGGTCTTCTGTTCCTAGGATCACTCTGAGTTATGCTCCACTTGATAGTGATCAACAACAACAGTCTGATGGATAACCTCTGCAAAGAAATGTAGCAGTTTTCTAGAAAGAATATCTAAAAAGACATTCAAGTTATCTTTTTAACAGAAAAATACTAAGTCTATATATAACAAGTAAGTTACAGCTTAAAGTCCTCAGAGCATTGATGGTTCAGTAATAGAAAGTCCTCAGAGCATTGATGGTTCAGTAATAGAACTTTTCTCTTTCATTTAGGAGACCAGGTTCAGTTCTAGGCTGATAACCCTCAAATGCAGCTAACATTCATGTGTTAGCAAAAGCTTATGAGTTGATGTGATGTTTTAAAAGTTCTTGGTAGACCTTCTAGACTAAATAATAATGGCCTAGTAATCACCAAATAAGCTAATGCAAATTCTATGGATCACAATGATCTGATCTTCAAATGAACACAGGCACAGTACAGGACCAGGCAACACTTTTTTGTGTATTTAAGGCTATCATGTGTCTAGGGGCAACTTGATGGCAACTAAGAAGAACAAAATTCTCAACAGCTCATTATTGTGGAGTCAGAACTGACTCAGAATTGACCCTCCCTTGGATTTGCAATGCTATGAATCATAGGGGAAAAGATTGGCCATGTTTCTCCTTTGGTCCTGCCAGTGAATTGAAACTACTAGAGAGGCTTGGCTTTTCTATTCGCAGTGCAGCTCCCTATAGACTATGTCATCAGTGCTCCCTTAATAAAAACCAGTTCCTCACAATATTTGTTATTATACAGTGTCTCAATATTTTTATGAAACTTTCTTTATGACTTCCTCATTGGCTAAATTAAAAAAAAAGACAGTATATGACTTGTCATAAATTAAGTTATAGCCTCTTTAAGTGAAAATCTTCCTTCCCAGAATATTTAAGCTCAATTTTAGATATTGAAGGATAGAATAGAGAGAGGAGCAAAATTATAAATAGAAGTTTTAATTCCATCCCTTCAAGTTTGAGGAGGTTTAACATGTTGATTTAGATTATTTTGCCTCTGAGGCTAATAAACATTGACATTAATAAATGTATTTTTAAAAAATCTAAGGAATAATAATTTTATATTCATTATTTTACTTGAATAAACCTAGATATTAAATAAAATGAAATACTGTATTTTGCATTTCAACTGTTAAATAAATCCTTGTCCTCGTTGAATCATTATCTCAACTTAATATGATTAGATTTACTGTTCTCAAAAGTCTATTTTGGTTGTTACAACCTTTATAGTTGACTATTATTACATAAGAATGGTGTAGAACATGTGGCCACTAAAGTAATAGGCAATGTATTTAAAATTATTTATTACTGTTGTCTTGATAGCCTTCTTAAATCTACCCCTGCACTAAAAATGTTGCCTATTTGTTATCTATTACTGCATATATATTATGCTCAAATTTGGCAGCCGAATAACAATGTAGATTTACTATCTCACAGTTTCTGTGTTTCAGACATAGAGCAAAAGCCAGTTGTGGTCTAGCTGAGCATTTAAGCTCTGGATCGCTCACTAGGTTCTGGTCTTCTCAAGGAATCACTGAAAAGGCTAATAGTATGAGCTGATGATATTTGACAAGATTTTGTTCTAATGAGCTGTTGGACTAAGGTCTCAGTTCTTCAGGAGCTAATGGCTAGAGAAATTTCTTGATTTCTTCTCATATAGACTTTTCAGTAGACTATCTTACAATATGCGAGCATTTTAGGAAAGGGCAAGAAAGATGTAGCAGCAAGGGGTGGTATTAGCAATATGAAAGTTATAATACTTTGCAGATCTAGTGGCAAGTGGCTTTGCCTCACATACTTTGGGCATGTTGCTACGAGGCTATTCCTTGGAGAGTGAGGAAGACCCGTGGCCAGGTGGATTGACACAGGGACTGCCACAATGGGCTCTTGTGTGTCAGGAAGTGTGAAGATGGCATAGGACAAGGTTCATTCAGATAGAGGGTCACTATGAGTTGTACTTGTCTCAACAGCACCTAACAACAACAATGGAAAGAAGCTGTGCTGCAATCCTGAAGGCATGCGGTTCAAGGGCATTAGCTGCTCCATGGGTGAAGGAGGGGTAGTATCTTCCCATAAGGTTAACTGCTACTGAAAACCCTCATGAGGGTCCCATATGGGTCTGTTCCGACTCTACATTACACAACAACAACAAGAGCAATCGCGTAAAACATCTCATCACTTTTGCTATATTCTATATTCACAGCAAAAAAGCCACTAGGTCCAGTTTACTCTCAAAACAAGACAGATGGGAATCATTTTTAGAAGATAGCTTACTGTTCTGCTATTCTTTTGTTTCTGACTCTTGGAAAACAGCAGCAAAACTGTCCCCTAAGGTTTTCTTGGTCCACCAGCTCTTTTTTTCTGTAGGATCACTGACTACTTTCAATTTGTAGCTGAGCACATAACAATAGTAAACCAGGACTTCTCAAAAGGTCACCCAACCCCTAACCAAATAGATTTCTTCTAGTTGATTCTGGTTCATAGTGACCTTACAGGGCAGAGTTGAACAATGTTACAGGATTTTCAAGCCTGTGATCTTTCTCCTACAAAGTAGCTGGTGGGTTTGAACCACTCAGAGATGGATTAGAAGCCCTATGCTTAACCCATTGCACCAGTTCTCCTGAGAGTCAGTGATCAAAAGCTGTAAATTTGTAACTTTGGGGAAACAAGATTATGATTTCACTGTTTGCAGTTTATTTTTTTATTTTTTTTTACTTAAGACTGAACAACAACAACAAAAAGGAACAAAAAAAGTTACCATGTCAATAACCACCAACTAAAAAGCAGTAAGGAATATTTCTCCATATTGAACAAATAGACAAGTTTTGCTTCACTGAAAACAAGGTGGAAAGAAATTGTGGGGAAGGAGGCTTGAGTGGAGAAAAACTAGGTTAACTTTTTTTTTAATTGCTTAACTGATTTTAATAACATGGCAACAGAGCCTCTAGACTTGATAGAATCGTTATGTAAAATGCATAGATGCATACTATCTTCTTTTAAAAATATAAAATAAATGAGCAAGACGTGAAAATAGGCAAGTTTCCACTAAATGAAAATTTTTAAAAAAGAAACATTTTGTTTTCATATCATTTGAAGAAGAGAAATTATCAATTTAAACAATATTCAAGTTTATTAAACAAATTTTTTAAAACGCATTATAAAACGTCTAACTTTCATCCGATTCCAGATTTATGTTGCTCCAGAATTTTGCATATAACTGAACTTTCAAATCTGCTAGCACCTGCTGGATGGATTCCACTCTGGATTCTAAGGCATCGATTTCTTCTTGCAAATTTTTCTTTGCTTCTTCTAACATTTCTTGTGTCTCCTCTTGAGAATGGCTAATGAAAACATCACCCTCTTGGTAGGGTATCATTAGGCAGTCATCATCCGCTAACATGATGTCATCGCAAATGTCTTCTAAATTCTGCAGCGGTTTCTTTTTTACACCTCTCTCCTCCTTTAGCTCTGAGATTCTATTCACATTCAGTGCAAATTTTTTTATCTTCTGTTGGTCTTCAAAGGTAACATTGATGTCTTCTGCAGCCGCCTTCTTCATGGTGACCTTACGCTAACTTTTGATACTTTGAAGGACAAAGTAGATATTGAGAAATTTAGATACAATTTTATAAACATTTTGTTGTTTATACTCCTTCCTTCCTTGTATGCTACCTGAGACTTCTGAATTGAGTTAGTTTAATACTCCATATAATCATTATGCCAAAACGATAGTTTGCATATTCTAAGTAATGAATCTGGAGAAGAGTATTGACTGCTAAGAAAACAAACAGATTCAGTCTGGAGAGGGTTAAACCAGGTTGTTCCTTGGAGGCAAGGATTCTGAGCCTCCTTCTGACATACATGCTGTACGGAGGGACCGGTCCTTAGAGAGGGACATCATACCTGGGAGGGTTGAGGGACAGCTCAGGAAGGGAAGACCCTCTATGACGTGGATTGATTCAGTGACTGGGGTAACCTAGATGGGGGTATCGGAAACAGTGAGATTGGCGCAGGACAGAGCAGGGTTTAGGGCTGTTGTATCTAGGGTCTTAGTGTGTCACAGGCAACTCGACGGCACATAACAACAGCAGCAACAAGTAATGAATAGGACAAAAATACAGAACAATTACTTGCTCTTGTTGTGATGTATTATCAAGCTGAAACCAACTTATAGCTGACCTTCTAGTGGGTTTTCAGAGGCAGCTAATCACATATGAGGAAGTTACCATCCTTCTTCTGCAGAGCAATTGGCGGATTTGAACTATGTGCCTTTGGGAGGGAAGTACAGCTTCTTACCATAATATTTGATCAAACTAAGAAAATAAGAGAGCGCTGATGGCCTAATGATTAGAGGTTCCAGTTTTCCTTCATGATTGAACAATTGGATTCATGCCCAAATTTTTATCTTTCTCAGACAAATACAACTTTTATAGTTGTATTAATTTACAAAAGTGTGGTCATATTGGTTCTTTACATTCTTGTAATTGTGTAAGTGTACAGAATGAATTAGACAGACTAAAGTTTGAGTATGAGATCTGTTATTTAAATGCAACCTGAATTATATAACTTACCTTTCTAACATGTCAACATAGAGTGATAACAGACAACAGACTATAAATTTCAGAGCTGCTTCTGACATCTATTTTGGTCTTTTGATTTTTTCTGTGCCTTTAAGTGAGCTTTTACTTTTTTTATGTATATTGTCTTGTTTCCATCCCATAACTAATCTGGTCTTCAATAATTAGTGTTCAAAGTATCAAGTCAGTTTCTGACATTGTCTCTAAATTACTGAAGGTTGTACTTTGGGCCAGCTTGTATTTTTTTTGCTTTGTTGTTGTTGTTGTTGTATGTCGAGTCGTTTGCGACTCATAGTGACCCTATGTACAACAGCCCTAAACCCCGCTCTATCCTGTGCCAATCGCATTGCCTCTGACATACCCATCCCGATTACCCCAATCACTGAATCAATCTACCTCATAGAAGGTCTTCCCCTCCTGCGCAGTCCCTCTACTCTACCCAGCATGATGTCCCTCTCCAAAGACCTGTGTCTCCTTGCAACATGTCCCAAGTATGTCAGACGAAGCCCCAGAATCTTTGCCTCCAAGGAGTAGCCTGGTTTAACCCTCTCTAGGATGAATCTGTTTGTTTTCTTGGCAGTCCATGGTACATTCAATGCTCTTCTCCAGCACCACAGCTCAAAAGCGTCAATTCTCCTTCTATCCTCCCTAGTCATTGTCCAACTCTCTGATGCATAACAAGTGATTGCAAAGACCATGGCCTGTATCAGATGCACCTTAGTCTCCAAAGAAACACCATTGCTCTTGAGTACTTTAGAGAGGTCCCTGACAGTAGACTTTCCCATCACAACACATTTTTTTCTTTTGCTTTGGGTTTTATTTTCTTTTCCCCCCCAAGTTGAGTTCAGAAGAGGCCTTGAAATGGGGAATATAATTGTTGAGATTAAATGGATCTTGGTTGAAAATAGGGAATACAAGAAAGATATTTACTTATGTTTTATTGACTTCACAAAGACATTCAACTATGTGGATCATAATGAATTATGTGTAACATTGAGAAGAATGAGAATTCCAGAATGCTTAATTGTGTTCACATGCAAAATGTAAAAGACCAAGAAGTGGTCATTTGAATACAGCTAGGGGATATTACAGTTTGTGTGTGTGTGTGTGTGTGTGTGTGTCTCTTTTGGGAAGGTGAGAGAGTTGTATCCTTTCACCATACTTGCTCAATCTTTATCCCAAGCTAATAATTCAAGAAGCTGCAATACAGGAATAAAATTTTAGCATCCAGATTTGAGAAAAGCTCATAAATAGCCTTCCATATGCATATAAATTAACATTCCTTGCAGAAAACAAAAATCATTTGATGCATATATTGAAAAAGATCAAGGAGTGAATATAGGCTTCATCCATATAATCTTGACCTTAACACAAATAAAACAAAATTCTCACAATTAGACCAATAGATAACATATAGATAATAAATGCAGAAAAGATAGACATGGCCAGGGACTTCATTCTACTTGAATCCACAAAACACCCTTGGAAGTAATAGTCAACAAATCAAATGATATTACAATGGGAAAATCTAACAAGGATCTCTTTAAAATGCTAAAGAACAAGAATGTGTCTTTCAATAATAAGAGGCACCTGATCCAAGCCATAGTAATTTTCATTGTTTTATATGTATGTGAACATTTATCAAAGAATAAGAAAGACCAAAAAGTGGATGTCTTTTAATTGAACGTGGTATTAGTGAAAACTGCTGCATATAACATAAACTGCCAAAAGGACAAACAAGTTTATCTTAGAAGAAGCTAAAGCAGGTTGCTCCTTAGAAGCCAGGGAGGGAGACTTCATCTCACATACATTGGCATGTAATTGGGAGGGGCCAGAGTCCCTAGGGAAGAACATCATACTTGGAAAAATAGAAGGCCAGGAAAAAGAGGAAGTTCCTAAATGAGGTGGATTGACACAGTGACTACAATAAAAGGCTTATGGGTAATAAGATTGTGAGGCTGATACAGTGTCTATTATGCTTTCTGTTGTCCCTACAGTCCATAGCATTCAGAGCCATCGCAATGTCACCTGACAACACCACCATGACTAAATATTTTAATGATATATTTCTCAATCATGTCCTTATTTAAAAATGTTATTATGGCAAAATCTCAGGTTTCCATTGTAAAAGCTGTAGATAAATTTCTTTCTTCTTTTTAATGATATCTTCCCTTTTATGAGAGGGTTTCTGTCAGCAAATGACAGGTAAGTTTTCTCACAAGATGTTTATTTTCATAGGCCCTTCAGTCTGCATGTAAGTGTTGGCTTTAATTCTCTGACCCACATTTTCACTTTGTCTTAATTGGATGCTCTAGTAGAGGTTTTCTGGGAAAAGACTAAGTCAAATCTGACAAGGTGAAATGCAATAAAAATAGATGCAGCATTTTGCATTTAGCTACAAAATCCTACATATGTTGTGTAAGATTGTAATTACATAATTTGATTTCAGTAGTTCTAATGATAAGATGGCTTGACTTTAAATAAAAAGTAACTCTAAACTGAGATTACACTAATAGTAGTATAGTATATAGACCACAACTAGTACCTATACACGGCAGTGTGGGGGGGTTTTAAAAAAAACTTTTTGGATTTATATCATGTTATTATTATATATATCATGTTAGGTGCTGCCCAGATGAGTATGACCCATAGTGGTCCTATCAACAACAGTTCTGAGCCTTGTTCTATTCTGGGTCGTCCTGATTCATATCAGAGAAGGTGGAAATGCAAAGAAATTAGCAATAAATTGTTTCAATGCTGAAATTGCCGTTTGAAATTCTGTAACAGAATTGAGGGAATACTTGAAGCTGACAGAAGAGAAAAGATAGTAAAGTTGACATCCAGGATGTTGTAGGGAAGAAGACATAGATGCTATACAATTCAAAATTCCAAAATCCAGTGTATCAATATGACAGTTTCAGCTTTAATAAAGAAAACCCCAAAGAACACTGAATTTGTTAATAAGTTTAAAAAGTGATGTCTGTTAGGCAGGGCATGAAATTCAATCACAAGACATGCCCAGTAAAAACTCCAGATACTCAAGCCTTAAATGATGTCTGATTTTGTTAGTTCTTAGCTTCCTACCAATTCTAAACTATGTTTTTTAAAAGAGAAAGAGAAGAAATCTATTGGATGAAACACTGGCACTATTTTTAATATGGACATGGTATGTACTTAGTATGATAAAAGAAACTCTCTGAAATTTACTTTCCATTTACTGTCATAGGAAAAGCAATGTGCAAAAGCAAACACAGCTTAAAAACTTGATGAAAACACACAATGAAATATATAGGCACCAGCAGCATTTTTAATTTAGGGGAAAGTAGAAAATAAATCAAGCAGCTAGCTAAAGAAGTCAGTATTCAAATCTTCAAATAATAGGCTCAAGCTGGGAAAAGTCCTGGCTCCTGTAATATTGCATAAGTACATGAGAGACGTTGTTCACTGTGACCTTCATACAATCTGGACAAAGAAAGGCAAGAACAGGCTGTATCCTGGTATAAATCAACTCCCACTATGTTGTGCTGTCTAGAGAGGCAGAACTGAAGGAGGTAGTGTATTAAAGAAAAAAGTCATTAGACCCATACGGGAAAAGTTCCAGCTGTGTATCCATTAAGATGGTATCAATGGCCTGACTGTGAAATGTTTCAAACAAGCAGGGTTTAAAATGATAGTCAGGAACTCACATTTTTTCACCTTAAAAGTTTTAATGAGAAAAGTACAATTAGCTAGCCTTTTGACATGACTAGTCATTTCTGGAATTTTCTGTCCTACATGTGCTCAGGCTTTTAAAGTCATATTGTTATAGAAGCATCTAATATCTGTTACTGGTTTCATTTAACTACTGATTAAATGGAAAAAAAATAGAAAGGCACAAACAGCAACAAAATTGTGATTTATATTATAGCAGTTCACATTTGGATGTTGTTATTCTTATTTTTTTCTTATAGCTCAAAGGGAACAGCAAAGGAATTGATCCCAT